GAGGGCAGTGTCACTGGCCCTCATATGTGGGATCTGAACCGGGGCCCTCTGGCATCCCAAGCCAGCTCTTAACCAACTCGCCACTCGGCCAGCTCTTTTGTTGTTTTTATGTGTTTAAAAGTCTTTGGGAACCAGTCCTCTAATTTGGAGGTGAGTTTCCAAGTCATGGTCCTTGGCCACCTCTGACCATGTCCTGGTTCCTGCTTCTCAATTATTTTGCCTAAAGTTTCCTGGGGAAGAGAGAATAATGGGGGCAGGGGGAGGGGCGGAGATCCCCAGGGGAGAGGGGCTGCTGATAACTGCAGGACTAGAGGCCCAAACAGGATTCCCCATTGAAATCCAAGAGTACATCAAAGGCACCTCGAATTTCAGCGCCTCCTCCCAGCCTATGTCCTGTTCCACCCAAACTTCAATCAGGGAACACAAACAACCGTGAAGTCAGCCAAAAGAATTCAAGCATCAGTGCACTGTTCTGCCCAGGGCTTGGGAAGGATGAGTAGGGTAGAAACCATCAAGGAGACCCCATCAACCCACACCAGAGAGACAGAGCGGGGGGGACCCAGGCACCAGACATCACGTGGAGATGAGGGACATTAAAGGATTTAAAAGAAAACTTCGAGTTCCAGCCTCAACAAGAAGCTGGAACATGTGCTCGGTGAGGGGTTATCCTCTTTGCAGGCCCAGCTGGTCTGCAGGCTCAGACAAACACGCAACTCTCAGATCCTTGAATGCCAAGTGGGATGGGGGGCAGGGAGGTCTCAAAGGTCTTCAGCCCTGCACAGGGCTAGCAGGGCTAAGCGGCAGTCCCCCTTCACTGCATCCTGCACACAAGAGAGTCAAGTGTTAGAAGGACCCATGACTGTCGTGGCCCAGGCACCCCGCCCCTTCCCTCATGCTGGTCCAGAGCTCATCTGGTGCCTGGAGTCTGAAGCTTAAGTTAACCGAAGACTCATTAATTTTCCAGGGCATGATATGCTCTGTTGTGTGCAGGGGGTGCAGGGGAAGAGGGGAGGGGTGAAGCCCTGGGGCTCCAGGTGAAGAACTAGCCGAGTCTCACCTGGAGGGCAGAGTAGAGAGATTTCCCAAATTTCCTTCTGAACTCGGCTCGGATGCTTAGAAGGTCAGTCTCACTTCTAGAGATAAGGATACGCATCAGGACTTGGTAATTGGGCTCAGTTTCCTGGTGGGGGAAGAAACAGAACGGAGAGGGGTGGCAGTAAGATTCTCACAGGATAGGCATTGCATTCTAGAAAAGTGGAGGTGAAGCAAGAATCAAGGAAAAAGAGAAGTATACGTTATCTAGGGGAAAAGTTATCTTTGTCCATCCTCATGGAAGATGACGCAGCACAGCAGGAAGACCAGTCTCCAGGGGCAGCTGGACTACTGGTTCCTTCCACATGTCTTCCCTGGCCCCGCCACTAGCTTAGAGCCTTGCTCCTCGAGAGCTCGGTGGTGGGCAGCTCCAAAGGCAGGTACTTAAAAACAGGATAGAAAAGACTTGCTACCTGTGAAGACTTTCAGCATGAAAGCCAGGAAGACTGTTTTGAGCTTCCAAGGGAGTGAAGGTCTAAGGAGAAAGCTGAGATGATGGGGCTCTGATAGGGAGCGGGGTCATGTGACTTCCGGTTCCGATCCAGACCCACTAGGGCCATCTCGCTGCCCTCATCTTTACACAGCAGTTTCTCCTGGTTGGACCCCTGGGGTTCAACCCCTATCTTTCTCCTACACCTGCACCAGGCCTCCTGCCTTTTGGTTAAAGAAGGTAATGGAGGGTTCCATTTAGAAATAATAGAGGCACAAAAACATCATCAAGTCATGAATTACAATTGGCTATAGAAAGTAATGTGTTATCATGAGAGATTGCTACATAAAAACTTTTGGTTGCAAAAATCCTACTTGTGTCATGAGCTGTGCATGGGAGCTGTCCACCATTTAATATCCTCTTTTTCAGTGTCCTCACTGACTTGAGTCACATGACCCTCCCCAGAACTGCCCGAAACCCACACCTATGGCATCCCCACAGATCATAAACTCCTATGAAGAAACAAAAGAAAGTGATGACGTGAAAACAGGGTGCTACATTTCATCTGGGCTCATTAATAATCATCAGTGGGCCTCATGGCTATTTTATTTTAAATTTCATGTATCATCAGTTTCATATTGTGATAAAGATTGCCAATTGCTCCCCACTATCGATTCTTCCCTTTCTCCAACTCTTGTCACCCCAAACTTGTAGAATTGGGGCAAGAGTCACTCATTAACTGAATATTCCCACTGGTGTACAAGTGCCTTCCACACCAAACCTATATTCAACATAAATTTAGTCTTGATACTTGACAATGTATTTGGCATCTTTATAATGAACATTTATTTTATGATTCAGATTGGTCCAAATGTGTCCCGAATCAGCCTTCACTGAAGGTCATTTTTCTGAAGAAGTATTCTTCACCATCTATGTTTTCACATATCTCTCATAAAAGAATAGTACAGAAGTATCCTGATTGAGTTTACCCTCTTTTTAAAAAAAAATCAGAAAACTAAGCCTAGATTATTTTTTGATTCCTACTTCTAAAATAAATCTGGCATTTCCATCCAAGAGTGTGGGTCCTGTAACCCAGAAATGTACATAATAATTATTTAGTGCTGGGGTAAAAGGTTTTCTTTTTTCTGACAGCAAAATTAGACAGATAAGCACAACTCTTTAAATGAATCTTAGTGTTGACTCGTTATAAAAGTCCAGGTTTTGCTGGGTAAGTACAATAATCTGGGGTCAGAATGGAAATCTCTAGAAACAAATACTTACATGCACCGTCTTTTGAACAGCGGACAACAGGCATGTTAGATTCGCAACCAATACACAAAAAGCTATTCCATCTGCCAAATGGTAACTGGTCTTATCCTCTTCAAAGTTTTGGTGAGTTTTTTTATTTCTGGGTTTTGGGGGACAGTTGTCCCAATAGGAGACCGAGCTCAATGAACAGAATGACTGGATTCTGCTTATGAAATCACTCAAACTGAAGTCGCCATTTTAATTATGGAGAATACAGAACAAAGTCTGACCAGTGTGGAGAAAGGGAGTGCTGGGTGCTACGAGCACTCATGGTAGAGCTTATAGGGCAGGCATTCGCTGGAGGTTTGTGGGTTTGGCTCCAGACCACCACAATAAAGGGGGTCACATGAATTTTTTGGTTTCCTAGGATGTAGTCAAGTTATATTTATATTGTAGCCTGTTAAGAGTGCAATAGCATTATGTCTAATGAAACAATATATGTACCTTAATTTAAAAATACTTTAGTGCTGGGGGCCGGCCGAGTGGCTCAGTTGGTTAAAAGCACAAGCCCTGAGCAACAGGATCACCAGTTTGATTCCCACTTGGGCCAGTGATCTGTGCCCGAGCTGAGCTGCCAGCAGGTGTCAGGATGGCTCAGCTGGTGAGAGCACGTGCTCCTAACAACAAGGTTTCCGGTTTGACTCCAACCATGAGATGGTGGGCTATGCCCACCTGCAACTAAGATTGAACATGGCACCTTGAGCTGAGCGGCCACAAGCTGCCTATGGGTGGGCAGATGGCAACTGAACTTGGAGCTGGGCTAGCTGTGCTCTCCATAACTAAGATTAAAGGACAACTTGGCTGTTCCCCTTCCCCAATTCCCCAATTAAAAAAACAAACTTTAGTACTAAAAAATGCTAACCATCATCTGGGCCTTCAGTGAGTCGTAATCTTTTTGCTGGGGGGGGGGGCGAGGGTCTTACCTGTGATTTGTTAAAAACTGCTGTATCTGTGAAGCACAATAAAATGAGGTCTGCCTGTATAAACCAACATCTATGGTACAGACCAGGACTTGACACGTGGCAGTTACATGTCCTACATGATCATCACGTGTTTGTAGGGAGACTATACAACTTAATAGCTGTGTGACCTTGGGCAAGATACTTAACCTCTCTGTGCTTCAGTTTTTCCATCTATAAAACAGGGATGGAGTGTGGCTGTGAGAATTAATTGAAATGTGTGTAACGTGCTAAACATAGGCCCTGGCACACAGTAAGCGCCTAAGAAATGCTGGTTCTTGTCATTGTTGCCGGTGTTACCACTATCACCATTCTGGCAACAACTGAAACCAGACAAGGCACTGTTTTCCAGAGCCAATTCGTATCTGTATTTGGCCATGTAGACATGAATCAGGCCAAAATGTGGGCTTGCGTGCCGCTAGGATCAACTTAGCTCTAACCACAGCTCACTCCTCTACTCTTGATGAGGGAGTCTATAAACCTAGGAAGAGAGCTGCTGTATGTTCGTAAAGTGACTATGAGGTTGTCACATTAGCGACAGTGTGAAACTTCCCCTCTCTCGCCCATGAGGTGTCTCCTGGCCAGTTTTTGCTCCAAAGTGAGGGAAGAGGAGGGGCCCTCTCACCTGGAGGGCTTGATGAAGTTTATCAGCAAAGTACAGCGGTGTGTTCCTGATCACCGAGGCTGGAAGCAAAGAGGGAGAGATGGAAAGAGGTAGCTCCAACCCCAGGAGACCCCTACCTACCCCACATGTCCTGAGCAGGCCCCTACCTAGGCTGAGCAGAGCCATCTGGACATCTCCATGGAAACGGTTTCGGACAGTCTGCTCCAGCTCATGCCCAGTGCACCGCTGGTAATGCTCAAACACTTGTGGTGTGCAGAGAGGTAGTTAGAGAGAAATGCAGGGGGTTGATTATCAGAAAAGGATGAGCCCTCCCCACCTTCCTCAGCCCGGACTCATCATTAGAGCAAGCTGGGGAGACTCGTGTGTACCTCGGATGAGGTGTTCAGGATTTCGCTGGGTGAGGATAAGGACCCACGTCCCCTCTGTGCTGGGTCCTTCAGCCCGCTTCAGTGCCTGGGAAGGGAGGGTAAATCAGGATCATTGGTTGGGGGCTGGAGAGCCATGGTTACGATATTCCCAGAATGCATCGCGATGATGGTGGAATGGGACTAAGAGCGGAAAAGTTATTTTAACCTGTAAATTAGTTGCTTTCATTTATGGTTTTTAAAAAAATGAAACAGGACCAAGAGAAGGGCTCCACCCTTACAGCTCGATCCCTCAGTCTGGGAAATCCCGGCACTCAAGTAATTAAGTATTCCCCAAGGGAAAGTCTGGGGGAGGGTCCCCCACCCAAATACCCATGAGAGTTGACAGCTCAATTCCTGTGAGTTCAGGAGTCAGAGGCTAGATGAGTGAAAAGGCTTCAGGTGTAACACTACCTGACAGAACCCCATGCCCCCACTCCACTGAGGACTCCTTTCCCAAGGCAAGGGGACATGGGCCGCTGGTTCTAAGATATGGTGGAGGAGGGTGTCTTACGTGCATGGCTCTGCGGTCTCAGCCCCTGCTCACCTGGACATCCTGTTCTGCCAGGTTATAGTCAATGATTTCAGAGAAGCTCTCACGGTCCCCCTAGAAGGAAACTCTCAGGAGAGTTCTCTGAGGGGCAGCTTTTTACCTCCAGGCCAACAAACCAAACCCGGTCTGCCCCCAAAGCCCTCTCTTGTCCATTATACCACAGCAATGCTCCCCACTCGGTCCCACCCCATTCCCAAGTGGTGTAACCGCCCTCCCCTGCAGGTCAGTCCTCCTCACCTTGGCCAGGGCCAGCAGCAGGTCCTGCAAGGTGCCAGTGGTCTCAGATTTGATGTCCTCCTCAGCCTCCACCTGGAAATCTGGGGTGGGGCCAGGAGCTCTCTGAGTCCTCCTGATTTTTTCCCAAGGCGGATGCCTCTAGGACCTGTCAAATGTCTGACCCCCTGTGCCCCATCAACCACCACCCCCTGCTTGCAGTAGCTTGCAAGTCCCCAGGATGGAAGGCAGAAGCACCATCATGGCCCCCTGAAAGCATCCTGTGAGCACCCGGTGCTGTGGGATCAGGCGCCGTGGCATGGCCTCATCTCCAGGTGCCAACCTGCCGCGGGCAGGAGGCATCTGTTATCCCAGTGGTGGCCCGACAGTGAAGAGGAGGTAGGGAAATCTATATGATGAGGCAAGATGGCGAGGGCCTGGCCCCCTCGTTGGAGGTGAGGGAAAGTGATGTGGGAGGTAGGATGTTACAAAGGGAAAAGAGCAAGAAAGGGAGGAAAGGAAGGGAAAAGAGAACAACAGGGAAAGGGGTAGGAGAGGGACAAAGAGAGAAGCCAAGGCTGAACATCAAAGGAAATTGGGGAAAGCAAGAAAAAAAGGTGGGGCTAAGATGAGGACGAGAAAAGAGAAAAGGCTCCTTCCCAATTAGGGGGTGAGGCATGTGGCAGCCAAGCAGCCAGGGGCCTGACAGGTGACACCATGACTCAGGGAATAGGTCCCCACCTCTCCCCTCGGCTGCAGCAAGGTTCCAATCAACCTGGGATGTGGTGTGATGGAAGAATCAGCAGGTGGTTGGGAAGGTGACGTGGGTACCCTTGGGACTGTCACAGCGCCCAACGTTGTCATTACCTTGGGATCTACCCTGGAGCCCCAGACTAAGATGGTTAATCATTGCTTCTCTTTCTTTAAAGATCACATCTGGCTGTCTCCCCTGGGGAGACTCAACACTGGTGGGGGGACCAGGAGGACGGAGCCAGGGAGTCAGGAAAGAGAGAGCCCCAGGGAACAGAACTCGGGCAGACAGGCTCCCAGAGGACTCGCCACAGCGATTGCAGGAGAGGACAGTCCCTCTGATCCCTCCCAGCTCCTGCAGCCCACCCCCACCCCCTACCCATGCTCTCACTGTGTTTGTAGACTGCCAGGCACTCTTGCAGCTGGGGTGGGGCACGGGTGGCAAGAATTTCCACGGCCACATCCTCAGCAGAACCTGAGTCCTACAAAAAATTGGGAGGCCACGCTGAGACTGGGCCATGTCGTTAGGACGGCAGAGAGCAGCTGCTGACCACAGGTCCTTCTAAGGGCCAATAGAGAGTGTTAACAGGGTCCTCTTCCAAGCCCACTCCTCTGGAGGGGGCAAATGCCAAGTTGCTCAGCCATGCCCCCCCTTCAGTGTGTCCTCACTTCCCAGGCAGCCCATCAAGCCTCCTCTCCTGGTACCTTCAAGGCTGTCCTCAATTCCCGGGCATCGAAATGGGCTGCTGGCCGCAACAGTGCCACCACGATCCTCTCAAGGTTGCCAGAGACTGCCGCCTGCAGGGACGTCAGCAGGTCCTGCAAGGGGTCCCCAAGACCGAAGGGTGGGTGTGAGCGGGAGGCCCAGGTGGGTGGGGAGGTTTGGGAATATTTGGCTGGTTTTCATCTCAGGCCCAAAGCACCACCCACCGTTTAACCAGGGGGCAGAGGCTGGCCTGCTACTGCTGTATCCCAGGTCTTCGGGGGAGGCTTCCCACCCCAGTCCACTGCTCCTGAGAAGTCAGAGTAGTCTCACCTGTTGGGTACGCTCCTGGAAGGCTCGAGAGATAACCTGTCTTTGCTCTCTGCTCCGATTGGTCAGCACGTCCATAATGGTGTTGTGATCCACACCTGAACCAAGATGAGGGCTGGGCTGTAGGCCGGACAGACCCCCAGCAGGGTCTCTACAAGGTTGGGGTCCCCTTACTTCTCAGACTTGCAAAGGAGGAGAGAACAAGCTATCAGAAAGGGCATCACCCCCACTTCCATCTGGTCTCAAAAGAAGATACAAATAAGATGCCAAGATGGCATGCAAATCTGACCCAAATTTAGGCAAAGGTGGCCTGTGCGATGGGGAACAAGTGGCTTTTGGGGATCAGCAGACTTGGACTAGAATCGGGCTCTGCCATGTGACCTGTGTGACCTTAGGCATGCCTCTTTACCTCCCTGAGCCCCAGTTTCCTCATCTGTAGGATGGAAACAATGACACAGCTCACAGGGTGTGTGAGAAGGACTGCGACACACCTACCGTGGTACTGGACATACAGGAACTAAGACATTCCACAACCACTTCTGCGAGATTGTCGGTTCCTCCCTCCTGGCTCTCTCTTGGTCCATAGCCTGGCTTCTAAAAGGTAGATCCCCAAGTGCAAGGGGAAGGGGCTCACCTTCGCCCGCAATGGCCCTCAGCAGCCTCTGCACGTCCTTGTCCACACTGAAGCTCAAGAAAGTCCTGAGGGTGCCCAGGGTCCCCCAAGCTGCGGTCTGTAAGAGCAAGGAGGCACTGCAGGTGTGCCCACGCCCCTCGCAGGAGCCCCGGCTGGGCCCTCGGCATGGCCTCGCGGTCTGCTCTCCCCTTCCCTACCGCCGGCCCCCTCACAGTCCTGGAGTTGATGTAGTAAAACTGATTCCTCCAGTCGCAGCGGCCCCCCTACCTTGCTGGCAAGGCCCAGGTAGCTGAGGATTTCCTGGGTCAGGGACAGTCCCGTCTTCCCGCTGGTCACAGACATGGTGTGGCTGGCTGTCCTGGGGAGGGCACAGGAGCCAGCTGAGGGGAACTTCCCGGCCTTTGGGCCTCTTTACGACCCCCAGGCCCGGGAGCCGGGTCTCCCATTGCCCGTTCCTTCCCCTTGTTGCAGAAAAACGGGACATTAACCTGCTTGGCAGGTTTGGGAGCCCACGTGGAGGGATAAGAGGGAGCCCCCACCTTCCCCACCTCGCACCCTCCTTCAGGAAGCAAGGATTGATCAGGGATGTTGCCGAAACTACCCCAAACAAGCCCTCCCTGACTCCAGGGCTGGTCCCAAGAGCTCCCCAACTCTGGGCCTGAGGTGGATGACCCCTTCTGAGGTCCACGCCCCTACCTTCCGTGGCCTGGCTGGGTGTTCCTGGGTGAGGCTCGATGGCAGGAGTAAGTATGTGGGGTGGGAGCTAACTCCCAACATCACTGTCCCCCCTCAGTCCCAGCCGGCCAAGCCACCTACCTGCTGTCTGCCTCTCACCCTTGGAGTCTCCGGCCGGGATTTCTAGGTCAGCAGGTGCAATTGCTGAGCTGATGTGAATCTGTGGTCTTGTTGGTACATGGGTGCCTGGGCAAGGGAGCAGGTACTCATGTTAGAAAAGAAAACTCCTTCCTCCCTCCCCCAAGCAATGCACAACCTCCACCCCCTAGCCAGCCTCCAGTGCTTACCCAGAGGTGCTGAGGGCGAGGTGGGTGTGGTCACAGCCCGGTGGCGTGCCTGTGTGGGCACCAGCTCCTGTGTGGCCTGGTAGAGGAGAGCGGGGCATGGGCAGCCTACCCAGCAGCCAGTCAGATGACCAGCTCAGCTGCTGTCTCGGGCTCTGGCCCCTCCCAAACGTGGGAGAGGACCAGGCGGTACCGGGTCCCACAAGCAAACACCTCCCTGCAGAGCATCTCTCCTCTCAGGAACTGGGCCTCAGCCCACGCGTGAGAACCGCGCTCAGCCTCTCAGCAGCTCAGCCCGCACACAGGAGGCTTTGTGCACTGCTTTCCCAGCGGGACCAGCTGGGACCATAGAAAGCCCAGTCTCTACAGCCAGCTTCTGACCTGGCTGTATCTCCAGCTCCCTGGGGGGCAGGTCAGACAGGCTCCAGGCTGATCTCAGGCCGATAGAGAAAAACCTGTTGGGGCACATACCGGCAGGGCACCCCAGCCTGCACCCCAGAGGGGGTCCCGGCCCAGAAACTCCCTGACTACTGCCTTATTAGAGCCAGCCAGCCTGGGTGGGGAGGGCCAGGGGACTGTGCATATCAGCAAGGAATAAGGGCACAGGTATTTGGTGGTGGGAGCAGATCAGCAGAGTCAAGAGAAAAAAATGCAAAGGGTGTTCCCTGTGGGCTGAAGCACCATGCTCCCAAAAAGCAACAGAGAGATGGGGGAGGCTCCCTGGGTCCCTGTTCCTTTGAGTCCTTCTGTTGCCTTTTGGCTGCCAGGACTGTTTTAGCAGCTGGGCTTGGTGCTGTCAGGGCACAGGGCAGCAGGTGAACAGTCCTGAGGGGCCTCAGAGGCCCCTGAGCAGGCAGCTACGGAGCCTCACAGCCGGCTCCCTAGGCTCTGGGAGCCGTCTGTCGTGCCTCCCTAGAGAGGTCAGGTGGGGGCTGGGCCCGGAAGCTTAAAGAGCTGTGTCCGCTCCTCTGCCACTGTCCCAACCCAGGGAGGCCCTCGCTGGTTTTCTTACATGAGGAGGGGCCTGCAGCTCTTCCACAAAACAGACCAGGGATAAGGAGATGCCGGGAAGGGAGATTTCCGTGGGGCAATCACTGTCCATCACTTTTCTCCTGTGAAAATGGGAAACACGCACTGGTGTCCGCTAAAGAAACGCGAATCCGGGTCCCCAGTTTGGCTACTCGTTACCTTCTGTAACCACAGCTAGTCACTTCAGGTCTCCTGAAAAAAACCAAAACAAAATGAGAATGTTGGGAGAGGCTGGGGATGGGGGGCGGGGGTGGGGGCGGCATCTTGGGGCACCTGAGGCTAGGCTTCCTGGGTGGGATTCAATGAGGCACTATATTCATATGTGATGACATCTCACAGAGAAAGGTGCCTTGTAAATCAGGGTTGCCAGATTTAGTGAATAAAAATACAAGACACCCAGTTAAATTAGAATTTCAGGCAAACAACAAATAATTTGCTGGTATTGAGATGACCTAAATATTTCATGGGATATACTTGTGCTAACCAGTCGTTGATTGGAAATGGTCATTTCACTGAGCGTCCTGTATTTTACCTGGCAACCTGAAAAAGGAGACTTGGTTTCAGAATAGTTAAGGCAGAGATTCTAGAGCCAGACTCTGAATTCGGTTCTGCTGTGGGAACGTGGCAACTACCTTACCCTTTCTGTACTCAGTTTTCTCATTGTCAAAACGGAGATAATGTTAGTGTTTCTATTTTAGGCTATTGGGAGAATTAAATAAATTAATACATGTAAAACAGTTTAGAAGAGTGATGGCCACAGAGTGGTAAGCACGCGTGTCAAAATATTAACTAAGATGTAATAATAAATATTGCTATGCTATTGCATAATGATCACTGTTATTATTAACTTGTTTCCCTAGGAAGTCCAGTCTTGGCTCTTTTGCAACTTCTTTCCTGCCAATCCCCAATCCGGCCACAAGAGGGCATCAGCAGCCACCGAGAGCCGAGAGCCCCCTAGTGGCCACTTGAGGTCTTAAGCCTCTGGTTCCACACAGATCTGAAAGCCCCTGCCAGCTCTTTCCATTGTTGGGAAGGAAGAGCCGTCGCCTGAAGACCTCAGGTTCCTAGAGAGACTTGGTGGGCAGGCCGGCTCAGGGGAAGAGCCCTGGGTAGACATCTACTCAAGGGACCCCTGGGAGGCAGGCAGGAGACTTCCTGGGCTGTGTGACCTCAGTACAGTGGCCACAGCTAGGGTCCCCATGCCTCCTGCTTTCTGTACCCGTCAGAGTCTCTTCTGGGCACACGTCCCAAGTAGGCTTAGCGGGAAATGGAGGGGGAGAGAGGGCTCTTATTTCCCCAGTCCAAACCTCCTGGCTGACCTCAAGGCTGAATTTCGAATCTGGAGAAGGCAGGCAGAACCTCAGTCACATGGCCCAAGCGTAGTGCTGGTTGCCTAGGGCTGTGGGGAGTGTGTGTGATTCATTTATATTTGCTCCACTGAAACTTGGTGGGATTGCAAATCTTTTGTCCCTCGGTTTGGTTTTGTTCAACTCCAGATTGTTTTCAGGTTTACTAATCACTTTCACCCCCATGCTCTAGATTTTAGAATTTCAGAGCTGGAGGAGATCTTAGACACCACCTACCTGGTCTCCTCCACCTCTCTTACTGACTCAGGGAGGCTGAGAGAGTTCCCAAGGCCTTGGTGCTGGAACCAGAATCCAGGTCTCCTAATTTCGCCTCAGTGTTTTCTTCATCACTCAGAGCAGGGCATGGCTGATTTGGGGTCCCTCTTAGTGGAATACAGGGGGACAAACAGTAACACATAGAGCCTCAGCTGTTAACTCGTGAACACCTCTTCAACTCTTAACTCCATCTTGCTTTTCTGCAAATATGGTCATGCATCGCTTCACGCAGGGAACAAGTTCTGAGAAATGCATGGTTAGATGATTTCATTGTGTGCACACACACAAACCTACATGGTGTCATCTACTGCCCACATAGCCTGTATATGGGGACAGCCCCGTTGCTCCTTGGCTACAAGCCTGTAGTACGTTACTGTACTATAGGCAACACAATGAATGGTATTTGTGTATCTAAACATCTCTAAACCTAGAAAAGGCAAAGTGAAAATACGGTATAAAAGATAAACAATTGAAACCTGTGTAGAGCACTCACCATGCATGGAGCTGTCAGGACTAGAAGTTGCTGTGGGTGGGTCAGTGAGTGAGTGAGTGACCATGACGGCCTAGGACATAGTATAACTGCTATAGACGATAAACTCTGTATACTGAGGCTACACTAAATTTATTTAAAATGTTTTTTTTCTTCAATAATTAACCTTAGCTTACTGTAACCTTAGCTTACTGGGTTTTACTTTATAAACTTAAACATTTTTTAAACTTTTGGACTCTTTTGTAGTAACACTTAGCTTAAAACATACATTGTAGAGCTGTACAAAAACATTTTCTTCCTTTATATCCTTATTCTATAAGCTTTTTTCTATTAAAAAAAAATTTTGGCCTCCACCTACGCAGAGTTCGGGTCATCAGTATATTACTGTCTTCCATATCTTGTCCCACTGGAAGGCCTACAGGGGCAGTAACATGCCTGGAGCTGTCATCTCTGATAACAAGGCCTTCTTCTAAAACACCCAGGACATGCCTGAGGCTATTCTTGGGGAGGCAGCCCTCTTCAAAAATACTTCTTTGGTGGTTGACTCAGTTTCTTTTTTTCATCATAGATTTGCTTGAAAGCAGATGTTAAAAACAAAAAAAGAACACCAAAAAACAAAACAAAACAACACCCCAGTAGGCCAAAATGGAGTCACTTTTGCTAAGCCATGACACCAAACCAAAATTTAATAACGGACCTAATTGCAGTTTCAGCCTTCCCAGGAGTGGAATTTTAAATCACTCAGTCTGGAATTTCCTGATCAACTTTAGTGGGGTAATCTGCCTGTTGAGACCCCCTTCCTCTCCCTAAAGGAAAGTGTCCTTGCCTGAAATAATCTACTCTTTTAAGTTCTTAGTCCCACCCTCTTTCTGCCTATAAAAACCTTCCATTTTGTACAATCCCTCGGAGCACCCTTCTAGTAGTTTGATGGGAAGCTGCCCGATTCATGAGACTTAATAAAGCCAATTAGATCTTTAAATTAACTCAGTTGAATTTTGTTCTTTAACACAGAAAATGCACCATAAACATTCCTCTCTATTAATGAAAAGCTTTCGGTGTTGGGGATCCATGTTTTCAAACGTTTTAAAGAGCTTGCCTAGGTTTGAAAAGCTCCTGCTAAATCCTTCACTGTGAATATTTTAGGGGTTCTTTTTCTCCTGCAGTTTCCTTTTCTCTTGCCTCTTGTGTTCCTGTTCCAGTTCCAACAACTCATTTAGTCAACTCCTGTGTCGTCCTCATCCACACGCAGCTTAAAGTTGTTTGCTGTCTCAACCACAGCCGTGTTGAGTTTTGCAATCTTTGCGCTGGGTGGATTTTAAGACTGCTGCGAAGTCACTAGGCAATAGGAAATTTTTAGCTCCATTATAATCTTATGGGACCGCTTTTGTATTTGTGGTCCTTGTTGACCAAAACATCCTTATGCAGTGCATGACTGTACTTTGCGTTGCACGGTTTCAGAGTACATAGGCATTCCTCCTGGCTATTTTTCCTCTTGTAAGGAAACTTTCTCCCCAGAACTCCTGGCACCGGAATCCCTCTGCTCAAGTACTAGCCAGCCAAACTCTACTCCTTAACCCAAATAGGCTTCTGTGTTGCAAGAGGCAACCTCACCTGGGTAGACCCACTTTCCACAGCTGGTGTTCATGTCTTTGCCCATCCCAGAAGCCTGCCTAGATACCTAAATCCCAGGCTTTAGGCCTCAGAGACACCTCAGCAGCCCGTATAGAGGAAGTGAGGCAGCGTGGGGCACGGTGGGCGTGGTTATGCCAGCTCGGGGCCTTGGGGGATGGGTCACAAGGGCGGTGGTCAAAATCTCCGGGTCCAGCCAAAGCTGCACTGTGTGTGTGTGTTCTAATTATGTTGACAAAACTGGTAGCCTGTTTCTAATGCTGCCTGAGGCCAGGTTTCCTCTTCTCCATCCTTCTCCTTTGTCTCCTCGGGGAGGGTTAACACCCCCTTATCTTTATTTCTCAGGCCTTGGTAATCTCATTTCTGCCCCCAAATTTCCCCTCACCCCTGCTATCTTTAACAATGTTAACTGGTTTCCAGTCCTCGGAGGACTCATTTAAAACGTCTGGTGGGGACCTTGGGGAAGCCCCGCAACTAGGAAAACTGCCGAAGAAGGTTCAGACGCGAAAGGAGGGGAGTCAAGTAGGACAGAGGTGCTGGGAGGAGTTAGAGAAGGACCCAAAGGTTAGCTCTCCCGTGAGGAGATACGGGAACCCTGCTGGAAACGGGTGTGTGGGTGTTTCGCGAAGGAGGAATCTTGGGTAGCGTTCTAGAAAGGTGGAAGGAACTTTGGAATTGGAAGGCTGGAAGGAGGCGTTCCAAAGGGATCAAAAGGTATAAAATTTGCCAAGGAGGAAGGAGTTCAGCACAGGGCAAAGGAAAACAGGAGCTGGAGGGATTGCTGGGAACTGAACAATTTGGCAGGTCTGAGGATTCAAAAAGGCTGGAGTCCACTGGCCTGGTGGCGGTGGGTCGGTGGGTGGGTGGGGCTGGGTCAGGGGGTGGGCCCGGTCGGGGTCCCACTGCAAAGAGCAAAGGAACAAACAGGTTAGAAATCAGCTTCTGCCTCTTCTACCTCTCCAGAAAAAGCCTTCGGCGAGGGCCAAGCTCTCAAACTGCATGAGAAGGGGGGTTGCACTCCATCCTAAAAGAACTGTCAGAGCACCTGAACTTGATTAGGTAAACAGTGCAACAAGCTACTGTCAGAGGTTCTAACTTGGACCGTATAAAATCGCCAATATCTCATCAAGGTAACAAATGAGGTTACCGCTAAACAAACGATAAAACACATCTTAGTCCCGCACTGTCCACGCAAGGAGCAACGGATAAACATGTTGCATCTTCCTGAAACATCGATTTTACCAGACGAAGGGAAAAACATTTTTTTAACTATGAATGTGAACACAGATATAGATTGAAAACTCGAATACACTTTATAAAACTTGGGGTTTGGCTCTTTCAGAGTCTGCCAGTAGGGTATGTGTGCCCCCCATCCCCCCCGGGGATAGGTTGGGTGGAAACTTTGTGGGTTTCATGGCGGCGGCGGGGTGGGGACACCTAGGGGTCGCGGGCTCAGCGTTGGGAAGGGCAGTGGAGTCTTAAGGGCCCGCTGCCCGGGTCCGCCCTGGAGGGGTCCTCGGCCTGGGAGCTTTGCGCTCGGGCAGGACGCCCCCGGGTAGCGCCCGCCGGGAGCCGGGGCGCCCTCCTGCCAGCACTGCCAGTGGGGTTGGGGGTGGGAAGTGTGGCGATCCGCGGGGCAGAGGGAGTGGGGCCGCGGCCGGGCCGAGGCAGCGG